GGAAGGAAGGAAGGAAGGAAGGAGAGAAAAGAAAAAAGAAAAAAAAAAGAAAAAAGAAAAGAAAAAAAAGAAACATGCAACCTGGCCCAAAATGCTTCCAACACAAAGGCATCTCAAAGCCATTTCTAAAATATAGAAAGGAAAAACCCAATAAATTAAAATATTCATCAGAATGAAGATTTCTACTTCTTTGTTCCCCAAACAACTTCTTCCTCAGCTTCTCCTTAGTGGTTAGAGAGCAAGCAGATTCAATACATTCCTCTCTCTGCTGGGAGTGGCTGCAGCTACTGAATTTGGCTGATGCTAACAGTGAGAATTCTACTCTGTTTATTTTTTCAGGGCTTACTAAATTTGCAGATTTCTTCATAAAGGAAAGAATGTAAGATTATAAACATGAATAAACAACAATGACAGCTTTTTGATGATTCACAACAGGAGTTTACTCCCAGGATTCATGTCGGCTCATTCATAATCATATGTACTGGTGATAAGAAGCATCCACTCCCACACAGAGATGTAAATTTTAGAGACTGCAGGGAAGAAGCTGAACTTTGGAGAACGATGGCCCATCCTTCTCGACCAGCAAAGAGGCTATGAAGCGCGCTCCCATGGGAGCTGCACATAGCCTCCACATTCTCTGCATTTAGAAGAACATTTAGGATGCATGTAATTATTAATTATAGTATAAATTTCCATGCACATTTTCCCTATTTTATATTTTTGTTATTTTGCTAACAGCGTCAACCTGGAGCACTTGTTTGAGCAAGAAAGCAGGAAAAAAAAAATGAATGAATGAATGAATGAATGAATGAATGAATGAATGAATGAATGAATGAATTTGATGGTTTCTCCAAAGGGAAAAGTAAGATTCAGATAGACATTGTGATTTATCAGGGGTAGATATTAAAAAAGCAGGCATTGTCCCTGGTCTGTTGGAATACCTGGAATCTCTTTTACTGTTTGTCATTATCTGGACATAAGCATTGCTTCAGCTGCTGATAGCACTACCCGAAATCTGGTCCTGCTGCTAGGATGATGAGAACTGAAGTCAACACATCAACAGGGCCTGGCTTTGCATACTGTTCTATATGAATTTTCCTGATTGGTTTGTGAACCAGCTAGTGCTTGAGATGTCAGAGAAAATAAGGCAGTGACATATGGGGGAAGTGTACAAATTTGAATGTTCAGGGCTGCCCTTGGACAAAGGCCTGATTGACAGTTGTTGTTGGTGGTGGTTCTTCTCCTCCTCCATCATCATCATCATCATCATAATCATCATCATCATCATCATCATCATCATCATCATCATCATCATCATCATCATCATCATCATCATCATCATCATCATCATCATCATCATCATCATCATCATCATCATCATCATCATCATCATCATCATCATCATCATCTTCTATAATTATTACTATTTTTTCTATTCTTATTAACACTCTTTCTTCTGGAGGAACTCAGAATGGTTGTACAAAATGAAAACTAAGAATCTTAAGTAAAAGCATCAACAATAAAACCAGCATTCTTGGAAGACTTTCAAAAACCAACATTAAACAAAGTTAATTTAAGAAGCACAAGTACACAGGTCTGGTTCAGGTGCCAAGGACACAAGGCACCTATGTCAAAACTGAACCCAGCTTTGATTAGCAAGTAAGATCGTGGACTTAGGCTTTCAAATGTTTTGGCCTCTCCGGCCAGTTAACTTCCTTTGGTTCTAGAAGTAAGGCAGTATAATACAACCACAAATAGTTGCAGGATGGATGAATGAAGCCTATGTAGGGGTGGAAGGCAGGAGCAGGGGGGATGCCTGCCAATCTGCATCCTTCTCTGTCTTTTGCAACCTCGGAAACTTTGTTCCCAGTAGCTCTGCCAGCCCTTTATCCGAAAAGGAGAGGATTGCGTGGGGAACAAGCAATGATCTCATAGTGACTTGATGGCAAGATAAAATGGCCACAGCTTCCTTTGATGGCTCTGTTGAAGCATGTGGGAAAGGAGAAGCAGAGATGTTGTGTGATAAGACTCCCCACCAGCCATGCTTCAAGAGAGACCGGGGCTGCCCTTGGAGGGATTCTCCTAGATTTTACTTGCAGCTTAGGGAAACCATAAGATGTTTGAAATGAGAATCAACGATCAAACAAAGTTGCTGTATTTCCGCCTCCGCAGTCAACTAAATGGTGCTTTCTTGAAGAAGCAAAGCAGGAGGAGGTGGCACAATCTCTCTTGCAAGCCAACTCTGCCCCAGCTACAGTAGGCGACAGCCCCCTGGCTGTCAAAAAGCTAAGCAGGGTGGACTTGATTGTTACTTGGATAGAAGGAATTGCAGGGATATAAGCTTAGACTAGGAAATTGAAAAAAACCTCCTTGAAGAAGTCTCTCAGACATCTTTAGCAACAAGCAAGATCAGAAACAATCAGTCTAAGGAGCAAGTCTCTCTGAGCCCAGGTTAATAAAGAATGTTAGGAAAAGAGTGACAACACAAGTTATTTTTTAAATTATTAACTCAGGCATTCGGGCAAGTACTTTTTTTTTTTTTAATTGAGAAAGCTGTACACAGTATAGGCAAATCAAAGCAGTTAGATTCTTGTTCTCTTTCTTTTCCTTTTTCAGTATAAATGGAGAGAGGCCTGTCTCTTTTGAGAAGATGGGCCAGCTGGCACCTGCAGAGGGTTTCCAAAATGTCTGTTAGCCTCTTTATCAACGTGAGAACCTGCTGTCACAAAGGCAATGGCAAATCACTGCCATTTTGTCACCCCCAAAAATTACATCAATGTTTCCAAGTAGTTACCAGAGCTGAGCCCAAGTGAAAGGAGGTTTGAATTTATTTTCAGACTGCCTCTGTCATGATGATGATGATGATGATGATGATGATGATGATGATGATGTGCCTTTGAGTCAGTTTTTGACTCCTGGCGACTGTCTGGACTGTGCAGAGTATGTCTGCAGGTTTTTGGGCAAGATTTCAGAAGTGGTTTGCCCTTGCCTCCTTCCTAAGGCTGAGGGAAAGCAACTGGCCCAAGGTCACCCAGCTGGCTTCATGCCTAAAGTGGGATTAGAACTCACAGTCTCTGGGTTTCTAGCCTGATGCTTTAACCACTACACAAAACTCTCTCTCTCTCTCTCTCTCTCTCTCATCTTTAATTATTCCAAAGTCTTCCAGTCCTATAAACAAGCTTGTCCATTTCTGAAAATCCCTTCCAGAAAAATTATAATTATGGGACCATCCCTTTCTTTCTTTTTTTTCCTTCCTATCCCTCTTCAAAATCCATTTGATAGCACTTCCTATTTCCTCTTTCAAAATCCTTGAATTCTTATCTCAAATTGAAGTTAAAGGACACCTAACTGCAGTCGTGTCTATTCAGTTCCCATCTATCTCACTTTCCTGCATCCTACTCTTAGCTTCATCCACTGTCAAAACATGGATTGATTGTAAGCATCTTGGATGCAAAGTTTTTGCTGAGATTATTCTATAAATATTCTAAATATTAATAATTTCAATAAAGCAAGATGAATAAAGGCAGGATGTAAGTGTAATAAAATAAAAAATTAACAATCAAATCTACAACACTTCTGGGAACTCTTAATAACTTGGACAGGGCTTCTGGCAACTGAATCAGACTAGCAGTTCCAAAGCTGTTCTGCTATTTTAAAAAAAAACATTATAAAAGTAGGATTGGGTTTTGCTTTCCACATTTGGATATGCTAGGATTCCAGATTTCTAGCTTTTAGTTAACAACTTCCCTTCAAAAAAAAAGGAAAAGGGTTGGGAACATGGCTAGTTGTAGATCAAACTAGATATGGTAAAGTTGCCTGCAGTGTCTTTCGTGAAGTATATAGCACTGTATCAGGAAGGTGATTTGCAAAGGAGAAAGAATATTCAGGGATCTGTTTAGTTGGCTCAAAACAGATGTAAAAAAAAAAGCCAGGAAACCAGCCTTCTTTCTCACAGATTATAATGTGACATTTATCTGAACAATTCCCACTAAAGAAGTTCTTAAAGAATAGAGAAATGGTAAAAAATGCCCTCCAGCTGAACTTAACTTCTAGTGACCACGTGGACACATCCATGTTGCTTGTTTGGCAACAGTATAGAAATGGTTTCATTCAGATTCTTTGGAGATGTTTTTCTGATTTCTCCATCTAGTCTGGATTTCTGGTGGTCTCCCATCCAAGTCCTAACCAGGTTCAACCCTGCTTAGCTCTTGCAAATTCAAATGAAATCAGTTAGATTCTGCTATGTAGCTGGACATTTTATTACCTGTACTTGCAGCGTGTATAAAAAGTAAAGTCTCCTTCAAGTCAAGCTTGACTCCTGGTGACTTCATGCACATATCCATATACTCTTCTTGACAGAAAGATGGAAGTATTGTCATTGTCTTCTTCCACAATGTTTTTTCAGCCTCCCAGTCTCCCCTGCTTAGCTTTCAAGCCCAGTTGTCCCTAAATCTAAACAAGCAAACTCACCATTTTTTAAAAAAATTGGTACATGTGACTGTGATTAACCAGTGACTGAAATGAAGACTTTTCATACACACTCAGAAAATTCTTTCTTATTAAGACACATCTCAGCACATTCAAAACTCATTGCAAAGCTGAACCCAATAACATACAGGTAGTCCTCAACTTGCAACCACAATTGGGACTGGAACTTCTGTTGCTAAGCAATGCAGTCATTAAGTGAATCACACCCTATTTTACAACCTTTTTTTGCTACGGTCTTTAAGTGAATCACACAGTTGTTAAGCAAATCCAGCTTACCCCATTGACTTTGCTTGTCGGAAGCCCCCTGGGAAGGTTGCAAATGGCGATGACATGACCCTGGGATGCTGCAACCATTGTAAATACATGCTGGTTGCCAAACACCCAAATTTTTATCACGTGACTGTGGGGATGCTGCAACGCTCATAAGTGTGAGGACCAGTCGTATGCCACTTTTTTCAGTGCCATCGTAACTTTGAATGGTTGTTAAAGAAATGGTTGTAAGTCAAGGACTACCTGTATAACATGGGAGGTGGGAGTGGGAGGAAGATGCAGAGGAAATCAGTGTTCTGATGCATGTCAATAAGTTCAGTGTGGATGATACTTCCAATGAAGATTGTATTCCATAGCACTGATTTTTGTACTGTGCCACCTGCTGAATTAAAGAAAAATCTGAGTTCTGGGGATGCAGTGGGGGAAGTTAGGATATCTGGACTATTCTTTGTTTTAGAGCTATGCCAGCTGAAATCCATCCAGCCCAACGCAATGTAGCAGCCATGAGTGTAGCCTTCTAGGTGCAGATAGCATCTCTCTGCATTGGCTGTCTGTGCTTAGTGCCCAAACCTTCGGAGGTTATAGGCTGAATAAGCCCATTATAAAGGACCATGTTTTCCCACTTACCAAAAACAATTTGTCTAGCTAATACGATTATTGCCTACCAGAAATCAGGGTTGCCAACTAACATTTCAGGCATCTCCCATTAGATTTGGACAAGGCGACTTTCATTTGGGTCCTGCCCCATGCTAATCTGTCAGTTGAGAAAGCCGTTTGAATTTTCATGGAAATATCATAAGAATATCATGGAATAGCATTCCTTTTGCATCACGGGGGGGGGGAGGAGAATACTTCCCCTTTCCCAGTGAGATTTCATTTAAAACATAAATTTAATAGTACAAATAAATTTCAGAAGACACTTAAGAGAAAACTGGCATTCTTTGGAAGAACTTCCCTCATGCCGTGCTGAAGTTGGCTTTGCAGAAAATGCATTTCAACCTTGTCCCTCCGTTGTTAATAAAGAAGGAAAATTTTCATACAAGCCCAGGGGCAAATATATAAACCCAGCAAAGGCAAATCCTATAAGTACCTTAGTCAGAACATGGCATGTTCCCTCCTTTCTTCTATCGCAGTGTTTCAGAGGTGAGAGCGCAGCAAATACAACTTATCAAGGGAAGAATATGGTGATGTTGGGCAGATGTGTTTCTGAACGGGTTGGTATGGTGAGAAAAGAATGAAAGAGAAATATAATGGATGGAAAGCACAGGAGACTTGATCATAGATAGGGAAGTTAAAATGGGACCAAAAGTGAATGACTAAATGAAAAAGGCAGGGTCGGTTCTCCATTCAGGTGGCAACTGGAGTCAGCAAGACGCTCGTTTTCAGAAGCAACAGACTGGAGTTCTGTATTGGTGTGCCTTCCCAACATGAAGTCAATGGTAGTGTACAGAATGATGCTTCCTGCTATTGACGGACCAGTTCACTGAGCCAAGTGGAGGTAGTGGTGGAGTTGGTGGTGGGGAAATTCTTGGGATGGATCTACAGCCATGCAATCAGGGTGAAACATCCACTCACACGCAGAGCGCTCTCACAAATGACACATCAAGAGATACTTAATTGTAAGGACAAGCAGGTACAGATTGTCCCTGGAGTTAGAGATACTCATCTGGGTTATAATGCGTATCTTGCAGAATGGGTAGGAAAGAAAATATTTATGGAACTGGACAAAGGTTATTTATAGATGGGGGTAGCAAGATGGATTAGAGGCATTATTAGCTCACTTCAGTCTGCATCCTAATTGGCACAAACGGTTGAGGAAGGGGGATGATAAAATGGCAAAACTTTCAGGACTCACTACTTTGCTTTTCTGGATTAACAAACAAACAAATCAATTTTCACACATAAAATCCTTGATCCTGGGAACCAGGTTGTGAACCTAATTCTTTCCCTCATTGTTTTTTGTATTGCCAGTAATTATTTTCTCCACGGAGGCAACTTTCCACTCCAACATTCCACGTTGGCCATTCTAAAGGATCCCTTCTCAAAACAGTTTTGCCCCTTTATCACCACTTCTTCCCTTATTTATGTGAATTACCCCATTGTACCTTTCTGTCTGCTCTGGTAAGCTGGGGGATCACAGTTCTCACCCATAGGGACCATTTTCAAGGGGCCCAAACTGCAAACAGTTAATAGAGCTACTCCAAAAGGTTATCCTTGTTTAGGAGAATCTTCTCCCTACATGTGTCCCAAAGTCTCTGTACATAAAAGTGGGTGGGTGTGCACGCACATGCTACAAGGCTGTTTACCCCAGAGCAGAGACCACTCCTGGAGAACCATGTGGGGCAGGGGAAGCCTGTGGAGGAAAACTTGCTGGAGATCCTAGAAAGTGAGGATTGGTGCCAAAAGGGAGCAAATGTCCTGGTAGCATCATGGGGCTGAGAGGGTAGAGGGCAGCAGCTTCTTCCCCCATTAAGGAAGATGGCATCATCTCCAAGGGTGTGGTTGCAGCAATTGTGGCTTCCCCAGAATTCCCTTTGCGCTTTTTGGACTTGGCTGAGGACACCTTGCGGTTCCGTGTCTGGATCCCATCCTTGCGCATGGCCAAGGGGCGGTTCACCTGTAGGGTACAAGTAGGAGAAATGATGAAGGTGAGATCAAGATCTCAGAGAAAATTTGTCTGGGGATAATGTTAAGAGATAGGTCAAGCCAAATGGAGCCAGTGTTCATTATTCCCTCAGCATAACCCAAGGCCATGCCTCTTTTCTGATGACAGTAAGTGCCCAGATCTTTTCCCCAGGATATTCCAGAATGGCTTATACACACCAAGTGCCACTAAGCCCTCTTATCCTTCTCCAATATATTCCTGGAAGCAATCAACCCCCACCCCCACGGCACCCCTCTTTCATGCACACACCCCCTCTTCCACTCTCTCCCTATTGCCTTACATTGTGCAGTTTGTAATAGAGGCCGCAGGCGTTGCACACAGGTTCTCCATTCATGTTGCGGCGCCAGAGGGTGGTGGTGGTAGTTTGGCAGTTACTGCACTGGGTACCAGCTCGCTTGCTGACAATCTGCATCATGGAACGAGGAGAATTAAATACTTGCCTTGCTAATTTTAGAAATGACATACAGGGCTTATAATGTTCCTGTAGAACAGCGTTTCTTGAAGTGTGGTCCAAGGACTCCTAGGATCCCCCAAGGCCCTCAGGGGTCTCCAAAATCAAAATGATTTGCCAGACATTAAAGATATTTGCACAAAATTTAAAACAATGTCACTCTTCTCATTATTATTTTTTATTTGTTAAAAAATATAGCGTTTTTCATGAAAAATATTTCATTTTATATTAGTATCTAATGGGTTTAATCTTTGCGTTTTAATATTTTAAATCTGAAAAGAGCAATTGTTATAAATATTGAAAGAATCATTTATATATTTTCTTTTTTTTTATGTCTCTCTCCATTTTCAAAATGTTTTCCCTGCTCAGAAGTTTAAAACAGTTCATAAAACTTAGAAGCTTGTAATGTGGTTTGTATAAAAACTATTACCAGGGGGGGGGGTACCTTGCCAGTTGCACAGGTACCGTGATGGAATGGTGTTATGAAGGCCACGCTCAGGGAGATGAGCGTTTCCTTAGTCCTCAACAGGCGCGTGAGAAGTTTAAGAGGATGAGACTGGCACCACCCTAAGGAATTCAGTGTTGTGGCTTGCTGGCTTAGGTTCAGTCTGGAGAGATTTCTGTCTTGAGGTGGAAGCTAATAAACGCAATAGAACTGTATGGCATTGTCTCGTGAAGAAATTCAAGACATTGTCAGGTTCAGCCCAAAGAACTCCACGAGACAGTGCAGTACAGTTCTGTTGCGTTTATTAGCTTCATCTCAATACAGAAATCTCTCCAGACTGAACCTAAGTTCCCAAGCCAGCAAGCCACAACACCGTGAATTCCTTAGGGTGGTGCCAGTCTCATCCTCTTAAACTTCTCACGCTCCTGTTGAGGGCTAAGGAAATGCTCATCTCCCTGAGCGTGGCCTTCATAACACCATTCCATCACAGGTACCCAGCGAAACAGCTTGTCTCTCTGCACCTGCTTGCAGTGTTTCTCAACCTTGACAACTTGAAGATGTGTGGACTTCAACTCCCAGAATTCCCCAACCAGCATGGGGAATTCTGGGA